AGGCCCTCTGTTTGCAAGGTCTTCCATGTTTAATTTTAGGATTGAGAAGGATTGATAGAGGCAGAGGTATTTTTTAAATGTGTTGGCGAGGCTAGGAAAGGAGGATGGATTTCACAAGCTTCCTGATGTGTCTCTAACATTCCCACTGGGACTTTCCCCCTTTCCCCCTCCGCTTAAAGGTAGGATGCCAGAAGCAATTAAGTAGGATAGAAGAGTGGAAGGATGAAGAGCAGTCAGAGAAAAATACTTTAAAGAAGAGAAAGAGGAAGAAAAAGAGGAAGAAAAAGCTGGACATATACAAAAAGATGAAGATAAACAGATTTTAACATAAGCCAGTAGCACATACGTTTTCTCCTGTCTCACACATAAAAGAGCTTCAATAAAACATGTAAAAGAGCTGTGAGTGCCTCTCTGCGTGAATAGCCAGGAATATGCCACTGCCCCGGAGAGAAATAGTAGTCTTCTTTCAAGCTTGTTTAGACTAGAAAGCAAAAGATCCCCCATAATTCCTCACGCTGTCATCTAGTGTCTTTTCTTCTTCAATAACATAAACCCTCCTCTCAGATCATCCTTTCTTCTGGCTTTTCTCAGAGGCGAAATGCCTGCTATTGCACATGTTTGCTTATGTTAGAACAGGAAAACAGAAAATTCCTTGCAACACAGAGGTGATTGGTCAAGGACACAAATGAGCTGCATGAGCCTCTTTTAGCATGGTTGTGCTACCTCTGAAAAGATGAACAGTCACTTACAGTTTGTCCATGGTTTTTTCTGTTCGCCTATAAATCAATTTGTCCTAGTCTGTGTTCAAATGTTCTGCAGCAGAGCACAGTATGTGTGGTTTGGAAGAGGAGGATGGGAAAAGGTTGGGAATTGACTTGGAAGCATAGGTGTGACAAAATGTAGTATGGCAGTGTTGTGTGGGAATTGTTTGTCAGCTTTACAGTCCATTATTCTGCACTTCCGTTCTCACCCAGGCCTCGCTCCCACTTTCTCCTTTCTCCCCCACATCTCTTCTCTGCCATGTCACCTCCCAAATCAATCTTGCCTTCTTTTCGCTTTGCTTATTCCTAGATTTTCAGATGATGTCGTTTGAGAGCCAGATGTGCAGAGCTGAGAAAGTATGCAGGATCTGAACCTCCTTCTTAGGCTTTTTATTCTTCATACAACTACTGCTGTCACTGTTCATGTGTACAACGCATGCAACATTACGAGGGCCTCTAAGAGATATATTGTTCGAAAGTGTGTGTTTACTGTCAGCAGGCTGTTGACCCTGCTTTAGAGCGTGGCCGTTTGGAGCAGCTACTTGTATAAACAGTTTAGCATTCAGGCACGGTCAGCTACATCTTAAAAACTTTATTCAAGGATGCCGTTCAGCCATTCCCCTGTTTTTTTCTTTCTACAACCTAACTTTGTAGTGCAGTATCCTTTTTTCGTTATTTCGTCAATCAAGAAACAAATGTCTTAGGAATTTAGATGTGCAACATTGCCATCAGCAGGGATAGCAACTGAAACAATGAAAATATATTCAGCAGATGAAAAGACAGACAGTATTAGTCTGTAACTATCATTTTGAATAAGAGAAAAAACATTAATAGGATCTTTCTTTCCCTAGATTCACACGTCTCGGTCCATCTCTGTGCAGTATTGCGTCGGTTTGTGATATTTGGATGAGTTTAATGGAAACAGAACACAGATGGTGACCCAATCTCCTTCCAGTATATAGCCAAGGACAGCTGACAATTTCATGCCCATTTCTTGACAACTCAATTTTGGTATCTAAGCTACACAGAACAAAACAAGGAAGTCACACAATCTCCATGTGTCTCTTAGTTCAAACACCGTATTAAGTAATTGAATGTGAGAATCACATTGACTCAAAGGCTATTGCTCCCTGCTACTTTCTACTATTCCTATATCTAGACATACATGTCATGCCTGCAGGACATGGAACAGTGATTAAGTGAACAAAACAGATTACATCTTGAGGCCATGTTTGTGTGTTTTTCCAATTGGGACTGCTTGTTTATTTTGGAACTCGCTCAAGCATTCCCTAATTACAGATGTGATTTTCCGATTGGTTCTTAACTGGTTTATAAAGATAAACACTTCTTTGTGAGTGACCTACCAGCTTGCTGCAGGAAACTCAAGGGTGAGAGAGTTTTCTGTGATACCTTTAGCCCACTTAAGAAGATTTGCATTTGTTTTTCAGTAACCCTGCCCCAGGCCAGAGAGACAGGTAGAGTCATCGTCTACGAAAAAACAAAATGTTCTCAGGAAACAAAGTTCAGCAACAGTATCCATCAACTTTGACCTCCAGCCCCTAATGGTGACTCCTGAGAGCTTGTTTTCATTCTTTACATTTACCTCATTCCCTAACCAGCACCACCCATTTGTGTAAAAAACCCTCATCCAAGTCTCAGGTGTCAGCGTCAGAGTCTTTGTTTAAAGATGTGACCACTTGTTTTCCTCTGCGACCCTCTGCTTTGGCTCTTAAGGGCCGCATTAACATCAATTTGCACAATTAAACTAGAATGCGTGAAGAGTTAGCACGTTGCTGCTCTCCAGCCAAATGTGTAATTGAGCTAATAGCAGCTGTTTGGGCCAGATCTTATAACACATTCACATGTTCCATTAAAGCTGCTCTCGGGAGCCATCGGTGGAGTGACTGGCTCCAGATGTTCTCCGATCACAGGATACAAAAGGGGAGATGAGGAGATGTGTTTTCTGTCACAAGAGAAGGATGAGAATCGTCCCTTGTGAGTTTAAATACCCTAAAAGGATGCATATTTGTACCAGCTCTGAGCCTTATGGGCTGCATTTAATCAGGCAGACTTTCTTTGCCAAATCCTCCTGAGCAACAATGTCCTTTTAGCTGTCCAAATGATAATCGAGTCATGTTTGTGGTGGGAGGATGTAAACAGCTAAGGTTGATCAAGGGAGACTTTTCTATCAATGTGATTTTCCTGCTCAAGCTTTATTGTTGATTGGATGTTTGTTTAGTTGTCTCTGTGTGTGCTTGTCTCACAGCCATGTCCTACGGTGATCTGATCAAATTTATAAATTTCTGTTGTTTGTACAGAGACATTTGCCTCTGATTAGCAGCATGTAAAATGCTGTTGCAGATAAAAATTCTCTCCGAAGCGGACAGCTGTGTTCACAAGGGAAAGTCGGTGTCGTCACCACTCTCTTTATGCAGCCAGTTCATGTAGAAACAAGGATTCAAACTTTTCCCGCATGACTCAGGATTTCTCTTTTCCAACTTAAAAACTTGGAAACTCAAGCTAACTTTGATTCCAGTTATGATTAGATGATTGTTCATGCATTTATTTCATCCTGTTTGAATAAGTGGATGTCAGCCATATTAATATCTTTTCACAAGCAAATGTACTCAATTCAGTCACCCATTAGTATATCATCCTGCCGGATTTAAGCTCTGTGGACTTTGTCGACACCTTTTAAAAAGCAGGCCTGCCTTCATTACATTTTTCCATTTGTATGGCGGGTTTGTAGTATTTGTGGTTTGGGTCATTTAGTTTTATTACTTTTTATGCACTTCATATAGTGTACTCAGTCCAGTATCCCTAGAAATTATACACCTCATGACTTGCTTTTAATGACAACATTAAGTGTTATAGCAGGAGGTAGTGTGCCCTTTATGTATAATGGTGGAGGGGTGTTGGTCGGTTTGGGGGATGGGGGTGTATCACGGCTAACATTAATTCAGGAGTGCATTGTTAATATTTGCATTTTGATCTTTCCTATGATCAACTGTTTTAGTTAATAATATTTGTTTTAGGTAATATGTTTACAACATGAAATAATGTTGGATTTTGCTAAATTGGCCGCTATTGACATTCTGGCAAACAAGTTAATTTATTAATGTGTTTCAAATTCACCTGCACTGTGTTTTGCTTCTTCATCAGTTATTGGTGGCGTTACTCATGCTGGTTACCTCGGGGCAGTCTCAGGGCTGATGACAGCTCATCAAAATAAGAGAGAGGCGGTGCGATAGAAATGTCAGTAACTGAGAGGGAGGAGAGCAGCACTATCAAACATTTACAGATCTTAAGATAAAACTTTATTTAAAGGAAAGTGTATGTGTTAGGCTATAAATATGATCATGTATGTGTATACTTTACATTACTGATGTTTTCTACCGTCTAGGCACAAATAATAATTATCATTTTTTTTGTTCTTGCAACTTAAAAGAAGGAATCAAATGGTAGAATCTTAGTTAATTTAAATATTGCGTAACGTATTAGTAACCTGCAATGATAAAACATGTTAGAAGTTTATCATATGTTTTGTGAGTACGTTTGCAATCTAAGTAAATGTCTTCATATAGCTGTATTAATGTAATAAATAAAGGATACGAGGTATTGCATGAAATGGAAATACTCCAGGAATGTATACATTTTGTTGCTTTCTGATGCAGAGCAAAATAAAAAACTTTATTAAGATCCCTGAAACCCCTTAAGTGTTAAAAAAGTATTTCACAAACACAAAAGTGACTCAATTCAAACCAACTCTCTGTCACAGAATCTTTTCTACACAGTGCTAGTTTGGAGATTTCTTCTGTGTCAAGTAATTTAGTTTTTACGAGTCCATCTTCTCATCTGTTCTTCGTTAACACTGGTTGTGTTCTCTTGTGGTGATGGTTTATGTGGCTCTGATCTCTGGAGCTAACTGCTCCTTAAGCAGTCAAGTCATCTATAAATCTAAAATGTTAAGCAGATCTTGAATCTAGAGAGGACTTTTGCCACATCATAGCTTAAGTAGTAGGTAATTGAAGAAATTGGAGTCTGGGGAGTTTTTTAATGACGCAGTCATCAGGGCAGTGTTTGTGCTAAACGATGCTTATGTGGTTCACATCTGCTTTCTCACTGTAAAACAAGTCCAAGTTAATGAAGAACTGAATGCATTGTGTTTTCGATGTAAACATGAACTGAGACAAAGGAAAAGCAGATGATCATCTTATTTCAATCGCACCGCCTCTCACTCGCCACAACACACCTCTTATCTGCTTGGACAAACAGTTTCTCAGACTTTGTGTAAACAAAGTAAAGCAAGATTAGCCAACATATCTGAAGCAAACGGCAAGTAAGCAACAAAAAACAACAAAAGAAAATGCTTTGGCTGCCTCGAGAGACTTTATATAAGCTTTCAACCAACTGATGAAGACAGATGACCTGCCTCCTTCTTTAACTCCCTTAAAGTGTTTCACTCCCTGCAAGAGTAAGCACATTTGTAAGACAAAGTGTGTGTGGGCAGTGACACTGATCATTGATGACCTTTGTCTTACATTAAACAATGGAGCAACACTGTAATGGTGTCTCAGGATCCTTGGTTTACATTAACAGTACTCTAAGTAATGACATGGAATTAGGAATTAATGTAAAGTACATAACATGCTGGTGAGAGACAAGCAGCGACTCTCTCTTTAAGTGATGTCACATCTTCTGTTAATGAACACTTCACAGACATATAAGTGCGAGACTGCGAGGGGAGGGAGGGGGCATTCCTTACATTCTTCATGCAAAGTACTTTACTTTTCTTGAGGCTATATGGTCATGGTTAGGTTAAGTTCCTCCCCGCTAACTCTTATCATTGGCAAACTGTTTGAAAACTTGAATAAATCACATGGAGTTGCGGCTGGTTTTAAACAGCATGACCCACTCTGACCACAGACCCTGGGTTTTAAGGTTTATGTCTAAGCGGTCAATTTAAAAAGATTTCAGATGTCTCCTCACACTGTTGATGGGAAAGTAGCGGAGACAGATTGACATCTTTGACTCGAAAGGTCATAACCTCCTAGGGCTAAACCAAATTTCACTGTGCAGAGAGGTCAGATTTGTTCTATCTTAATCGAATACAGCAATGTCAGATACAATGAATATTAAGAGAGTAATTGGTTGGTGAGTTCAGTTTTCCTGTTGAAGCAACACCTTCCTAGAGAACTTATTTATGTGAAGTATTGAAGCAACAGAAGTTCACCAACACAGCCATTGGTCACTACGTCACCAACATTTCAGCACCACAACTTTTCTTTGAGCCCAGATCTTTAAAATATAGTTTTTTCTGTGCACAGAGCAACGATTGTGACGTTTATCCCCCATCATGTCTTGCTGGCAATTTGTGAACCACAAGTTCAGCTCTGAGTCTGTTGGGTGGCTCACTGACCGTAAGGAAAGCAGAAAATCAAGAGACCGGTGAGCCAATCCATGCTGTCATCATAGATGCCTAAGATGCAAGCCGTTAAGCTAGCAAGTCCCACCACTCTGGATAAACAAACTGTGTTGTTCAGTCCTCCTCCTAGACAACTGGAGCCATTACCAGCCACCACAGAAACCCAAGGCTCTCTCCTTATTAAAGATTGCCTTCATCCACGGCCGTTTTCATAAGCCTCTCTCTTCTCTCCCGCCTCCTCTCCATCCCTTCCTCCCTTTCTCTTCCAATCTCATTCTTTGTGGGTTTTGGGTTTGGCGAGTGCTAGGCGTCACAAAAATTGAGGCCCACTCTTTCTATCAGCCTCTCTCGATTTTTCTTTTTCTAACTGCTCCCCCTTTCCCTCCTTCCTTCACTCCCTTTCTCGGTACTGGGCGTTCATGCTTAAAAAGAGGGGGGGCTTGCCAAAAGCGCGATTCAGGGAAAAACAATGAGGGGAGGTTTGTTTGAGAAAAAGCACAGGAAGCCAAGATGTATAAACTTCAACGGACCTGTACCCCGGTTAAACGTGTGAGCCAGCCAGAGGAGAGTGTGGTTTGTGGGTGCGGCCCACCAGGCTTTCTACCAGGAACAGAGTGATTTACCTCACACAGACAGAACCCGCTGAACTGAACACACACACAAACATTCACACAGACACTCAACAGAAGAATAATACACACACATTGGAATTCCAAATTCTCCATTTCTGTATGTTCTCTGACTAGATTTCATAAAAGTGTTTCCATGTATCTAAGTGCCTTTGACATGATATCAGTAGGTACTTAATGGAAACCTGTCGGTGAAGGGGAAACACACACGCTTTTTACGACTAGTGTTTGAGTGTGGGAGGACAGATGGACCCCTGTAGATGTCAATGAATGAGGTCTGAATAAGCCTTTGTTGATAACGGTGATGGACGATGTTCTCAGGCTCATTAAGTCGTAGATGGTATCTCTTTTATTCGAGACTAAAGAAGGGTCTGGGGGAGATGGGAAAAGCACCACACTCCATTCATCAAGTGAGGAGAAGAAGAAAGAATAAAACAGAAAGAGATAGCAGTGTTTGAACATAAGCTGTTTATGGCAAGTGCTGCTCCTTACATGGGGCTTTCCAAAGGCCTTTCAACAGAGCAACATGAAACACATGGTGGAAATGGGAGTCAGGACGAGAACAAGAGTAATTATTGGCATGGTGGGAGTCAAAAAGTCATGAGGGAGTGCAGTCTGCGTAACTGGCATATCCTCCTGCTCTGTGGTTTCATATGAATCATTAAGAAGAGTTTATAGAGGAATTTCAACTCCAGTTCTTACAGATGGTCTTTTTATTAGAGCTCTTGTACAAACTCACAATATAAACCTGCTAAAAGGACACACCGTCGTTTTGATCTGCCTGCTGCCCCTGCTTGCGTGCCGGGTATGGTGGCTCCACGTCAAGCACGTCTTCATATTGTAAACAGATGGCAAAGCGCTGACCTCTCGTGTAGAGGCAACCAAAACCAAGAGGCAGAAACTATTCATCCTCTGTGAGGAGGAAACTTTTCAGTAAAAAATGCTTCATGAAAAATGCAGCTTTAAAAAAAAAAAGCATCTGCAAAAAGCAAAAAAGCAGCAATATGTTCCAAGACGGCATGCTGTTGGATCATATGTCTTTCCCTCAAATAGGGTCAAATTTAAAAGGTCCCCTATTATACTGTTTTTCATCTATATATTATAGGTCTCAGATATATACAAACATGTCTCTGAAGTGTTTGGCTCGAAATACCAAACAGATCATTGTAGCATCCCATAATCCCCTCTGTTTCAAAAGTGCGGATTCTCTGTCTGTTACTTCAGATGAAAATAAGGAGCCACTCCCCACGTCCCTCTGAGAGAGATTTGGTTAAAAAGAACACAATGGAGCTCTAGATTCAGGTGATAATGTGTGGGGTGTTACTTTGGTTGGTTATTGGCTAATGGTTACACAAGCCAAAAAATCGTTATAATATCATAAAGTGGCAAAATCTGATCAGCTCATTTTCAGACAGGTTTTTTATATAAATGGATCAGGACAAAAAGTGAGCAAATCTTTTTTCCTGAAACTTTCAGAATCTCTTTACACAGAGGGGACACATGTTTATGTATAAAAGACTTGAAAAAGTGGATTTTGCATAATAGGTGACCTTTAAATCAAATGTGAATTGGCTTGTATGGAGCAACCAAACTGACAAAAAGTAGTTAATGGTACCGGTAATCAAAATAACAATTATAAAATATCAGTCAATATATCAATTAATAATGTTGTTATTGAAAGAATTAATCAAGACATCAAGACAAGAGGCATGTTCTGAAGAAGATAATGTTATGAAGACACAAGCATGTTATCAAGTTTCACCAGTGAGCTAACATAGCAATATGATCTCAGAGAAATATGTGAAGTGACCGCAACAAGAAAAGCATGTCCCCCAGCTTAATATCATCTTAATGTGACACATTAAGGAGACCTCTCAACGGATTATGTGTTAGATGCAATGTTCTTTCCCCAGTTGAAATGTGTATGTTTCCCTGGGTCATTTATGTTGAACACAACCACCCACCTAGAGTAAAGAGGTTATACTCCTTTACGTATACACACACCCAAAAACGTTCGCCCTCAAATTGCTGACAGACAGACATTGACGTCTCCACAGTGACAGGTTGTTAACAATTCAAACAGCAGCCCTTTCCTTATTTTTGGATTTAAAATCTCGGTACCACTTTACAATAAGACTACCCTTATAAAGGGTTTACAAATAGTTTGTAATTCTTTTATTAATTAGGTTGTGAACTCTTTATAAATCTTTAATAAGCTTTTATAAGACATGAGATAAACAGGGCACCTGTGACCGGTGGCTTGCCAAATAGTGAGCCCAAATGTATCTACTGCTAAGCCTTATTGAAAATGGTAGTAGCATTAATAAATGGGAATGTGTTTTACACTTTACAATAAGGTTCCCTTTTGGCAGTTATAAATGTTAGTAACTCATAAATAAATGGTCATAAAGAGATGCCAAGAAACATCAAGATGGATGGGGGGAATCAACTCAGTGATACCAAGGATGCTGGCTGATGAAGAAGACGAAGTAAGCTAGGTAGCCAATATAAGACTTGGTCATCTTGCCAAATAGAGAGCCTGTGTTGATGCATGAAAACTACGTTAGAACTGGTTTATAAATGGTTCTTAATGATTAATAAAGCGTTTAAAACCTAATTCATAACCTGATTATAAACCCTTTATGAATCCTTTATAAGGGTAGTCTTATTGTAAAGTGGTATCAAAATATCTTACAAGAGGACCCACTGCGGTCAAGCCAGCCTCCACTCGGTGAAAACCTAGTCAAGGCCAGCCCTCACGTGATATTGCGGTGCGCGAATATCCCTATGCATTACGGTAGAGTAAAAAAAAAAAATCATCCCTCTGTGCTTAGATGAGAATAAAACAAAAACTGTCCAGTATTCAAAGACTCATTCCACTTCAGGGTGATTAGCAGGACATCCCATCTAGTCACTCAGAAAAAGTCAGGACATTCTGATGTAGAGTTTCAAAATAAAAGACCTTGAAAATCTCTAGTGTATGGGCTATCCATCCTGTTTTTAGATGCGAATAAAAACAAAAACTGTCCAGTATCATAGATCCATCTCACTCCAGGGTGATAGCAGGACACCCATGTAGTCCACTCAGAAAAGAATCAGGACATTCTGATGTACAGTGTCAAAATAAAAGACCTTTGAAGTCTCATATATGAGCATATCATTCACCTGTTTTTTAGATGAGAATAAAACAAATAGATCCATCTCACTCCGAGGTGATAGCAGGACAACCCATCTAGTCCCACTCAGAAAAAATCAGAAGACATTCTGATGTACAGTTATCAAAATAAAAGACCTTGGGTACAGGATGATAGCTCATATATGGAGACTTCAAGGTCTTTATTTTGAACTGTACATCCAGAATGGTCCTGATTCTTTCTGAGTGAAGACATGGGGTTTCCTGCTACCACCCTGGAGTGAGAATTGGGATCTATGATACTTGGACAGTGTTAGTTTTATTATCATCTAAAAACAGGGATTGATAGCTTCATATATGAGACTTCAAAGGTCTTTTATTTTGAAACTGTACATCAGAAATGTGCCTGATTCCTTCTGAGTGACTACATGGGGTTCTGCTATCACCCTGGAGTGAGATGGATCTATGATACAGGACAGTTTTTGTTTTATTCTCACCAAAAACAGGGATGATAGGCTCATACAATAGAAGGGGATTTCAACAAGGTCTTTTACGGTTCAAACCAGCTTCCACATCAGAAAAATAGTCAGCCAGCCCCTCCTGATTTTTGTCTGAGTGACTAGATGAGATGTGCTGCTATCACGGTGAAGTGAAATGAGTCTTGATACTGACATCTCTGGTTTATCCTGATCTAAACACAAAATGTCCAGTATACAAAGACTCATTTCACTTCAGGGTGATAGCAGGACATCTCCATCTAGTCACTCAGACCAAAATCAGGGACATTCTGATGTAGAGTTTCAAAATAAAAGACCTTTGAAATCTCTATTGTAGAGCTATCATCCCTGTTTTTTTGGTGAGAATATCAAACAAAAAACTGTCCTGTATCATAGATCCATCTCACTCCAGGGTGATAGCAGGACACCCATGTAAGTCCACTCAGAAAGAATCAGAGACATTTCTGATGTACAGTCAAATAAAAAGACCTTTTGAAGGTCTCAGTTATATGAGCTATCATCCCTGTTTTTTAGATGATAATAAAACAAAAAAACTGTCCAGTATCATAGATCCATCTCACTCCAGGTGGTAGCAGGAAACCCCATGTCGTCACTCAGAAACGAATCAGGAACATTCTGATGTACAGTTCAAAATAAAGACCTTTGAAGATCTCATATATGAGCATCATCCCTGTCCCCAAAGGTCTTTTTATTTTGAAACTGTAATCAGAATGTCCTGATTTTTCTGAGTGACTAGATGGGTGTCCTGCTATCACCCCAGGAGTGAGATGGATCATTTTGTTTTAATTTCTCATCTAAAAACAGGGATGATAGCTCATATATGAGACTTCAAAGGTTCTTTTTAATTTGAAACTGTACATCAGAATGTCCTGATTCTTTCTGAGTGACTACATGGGGTGTCCTTGCTATCACCCTCTGGAGTGAGATGGAATCTAAGATACTGGACAGTTTTTTGTTTTTATTCGCATACTAAAAAACAGGGAATGATAGCTCATACACCTAGAGAGATTTCAAAGGTCTTTTTATTTTGAAACTCTACATCAGAATGTCCTGACCTTTTTTCTGAGTGACTAGATGGGATGTCCTGCTATCACCCCTGAAGTGGAATGAGTCTTGATACTGGACAGTTTTTGTTTTATTCTCATCTAAGCACAGAGGGATGATTTTTTTTTTTTTACTCTACCGTTTAATGCATAGGATATTCGCGCACCCGCAATATCACGTGAGGGGCTGCTTGACTAGGTTTTTCCCGAGTGGAGGCTGGCTTGACCGCAGTAGGTCCTCTGTAAGATATTTTGATACCACTTTACAATAAGACTACCCTTATAAAGGATTCATAAAGGGTTATAATCAGGTTATGAATTAGGTTTTAAACGCTTTATTAATCATTAAGAACCATTTATAAACCCAGTTCTAACGTAGTTTTCATGCATCAACACAGGCTCTCTATTTGGCAAGATGGCCAAGTCTTATATTGGCTACCTAGCATTACTTCGTCTTCTTCATCAGCCAGCATCGCTTGGTATCACTGAGGTTGATTCCCCCCATCCATCTTTGGATGTTTCTTGGCATCTCTTTATGACCATTTTATTTATGAGGTTACTAACATTTATAAACTGCCAAAAGGGAACCTGATTGTAAAGTGTAAAACACATTCCCATTTATTAATGCTACTACCACATTTTCAATAAGGCTTAGCGTAGATACATTTGGGCTCACTATTTGGCAAGCCACCGGTCACAGGTGCCCTGTTTATCTCCATGTCTTATAAAAGCTTATTAAGATTTATAAAGAGTTCACAACCTAATTAATAAAAGGAATTACAAACCTATTTGTAAACCTTTATAAGGGTTAGTCTTATTGTAAGTGTACCGAGATTTTAAATCCAAAAATAAGGAAAGGGCTGCTGTTTTGAATTGTTAACAACCTGTCACTGTGGAGACGGTCAATGTCTGTCTGTCAGCAATTTGAGGGCGAACGTTTTTGGGTGTGTGTATACGATAAAGGGAGTATAAACCTCTNGGGGGAGAGAGAGAGGGGGAGAGAGAGAGAATGTGAGGGGGAGAGACCGTTTGGGTTAGGACCAACCCCCTTTAGCTGGTGCATGTTTAAACTTCACTCCCGCTGCCTTGTCAGTTTGACTGTGAGTCTCTTGGTGACTGTGTTTGGATTCTCCACACCGAGAAGCAGATGCACTGCAGGATAAGGGCAACCCTGAATCAATTTCAAGGTAATTTTATTTGGGATTCTTATTTTATTCTGAAACAAGATGTGATAGAAGGTGTTCTGTTTAAGGTCACTTTTATATGGTTGCATTTCAGTGGTGTAAAATTCAACCCAGAATGTTAGGAAATCATAATTATTAGAGGATTGTTTATGATTTATTTTAATAAGACAATTTTACTATACTGTTTAAATTGATCTAATTTAAGCCTATAGGGAAACTTTCAAACAATATCTTAAAGGAGATTGTACTATAAGCTATATGCAAAAAAGTCAAAAAAATATTATTTAGTTTTCAAATGTTTTAATTACAATTGTTTTTCGTGATCCTAAATTCAAATGCTGATAATTGTGATTATACCATATATATTTACAAATACACTCACTCACATCTCATCATGGATAATTGATATTCAGATACTGTTATTCATACATAGTTGTATCCTTGGATTGACTCAATATGTACTATCAAAGGACTCGACACTCAGCTATTCGAGGCAACACGGTCAAGTTATTAATTTCCAGAATTCTTTGTAACACATTGAAGGAATTAAAGTCTCCAGACCGTTTGTTAAATACTAACATCTGACTCAAGAAGCAGGGAAAAGGTTCCGTCGCACGACAGAGATTTAAAGGAATGCAACCCTAATCACCCCTGATTGTTTTCAACATTAACAATGCAGGCACAATTAATTCAACCACAACCTTCAGTATATTTTATGATAATAGTTTGCAAATGTAATAAACTTGGGCATGCAGCTTTGCATGTGTGGGAAACTTCAAACACACTTCAGCTACAGTGTGGAAGTGGAATGGTGATGCTGGGGGAGAGCTTGGCATGTGGGCCAAATGAAGTGCACATGTTGTGATGGTTCTTGTCTAGCAACCTTACACTGACTGACACACTTTGTAAACACATGTGGAAAGACTTAATGTTTGTTTGACATTAAAATGATCCCTCTGCCCTTTCAGCCTTTTGTGTCACATTCATGAGGTCATATTTAAAGTTTTTAATCTCCACAATTCTTACTAGATTCAGGATTCAAGGGTTGTATTTTCATATGTACAGTAGCTACAGTGTAGTTATGGCAATGAAAATCTTAGATCTCAAACTTCTCCAACTATGCAACATTATATATAGGACATAAGACAACATTAAAATAGTGTTTTATGTTTTACTAAAGTGTCCTAGGAAATCTGCATTCAACTTATCGACCAACTATCTACTTATTTGCATGTTTATGTCATGGTAAGACATAGACAGTTTCAATATTTGCATCACCAGCCTACACCTTGCATTTATGGGGAATTGTGAATAAATGTCTGCGTAATCCTAAATAGATAGCAATAAACTATGAATGTTTACTTACTTTAATTTTAAAGTGTTTAGGTTTGTTCTTAAGGATTATGGTTTCCACTATGTGCTGCTTTTATTCTTTCCATCACATTTGTAATGCTTCTTTCTCGTCCTCCTGCAGTGTCTGGACCCTCTAACCAGGACAAACAGAGCTCTATAGCACCGTCTTCTGGCAGAGAAGAAAAACCATCTCAATCATTCGGGTGGATTACACTGTATCAACTCCGTGTAATCCCTCCCTTTATCGACGGAGCTCAGACATTTTTTGTGTATCTTTTTTGTACTTGAATACATTTTTCACAGCTTTTGCTGCCAAAGTATGTCAGCAAAAATGACTTCATAGCCACAGACTGCAGCATAGAAGAAAAGATAGAAAAAGCATGGAGGATTCAAGTACCCCCTCGACACTCATATTCCCCACCTCCCCTACCCCCTCCTCTCCCGGCTACTTGCAGTTCTTCTGGGAGTACCAGGACAATTCAGTGCTTGTGGATCATTACAACTACACAGGCAAGCTGCAGAAAGACCGCTACCGTGAAGGACTCAAACCCGAGGGCATTGCGTTCCTGGTCGTATGTCTCCTCATCGTCCTGGAGAACGCTGTGGTTCTCATCGCCATTTGGAGGAACAAGAAGTTCCACCTGCCCATGTATTACCTGCTGGGCAACCTGACTCTGTCTGATCTGCTGGCTGGGATTACATACATGGCCAACATCATCATGTCTGGACCTAACACTTTGAAACTGACACCGTTGCTATGGTTCCTCAGGGAGGGAGGGGTCTTCATCACTCTGGCTGCCTCTATAATTAGTCTGCTGGCCATTGCAATTGAACGGCATGTTACCATGGTGACAATGAGGCCCTACCATGGGGCAAAGCGGGGACGGATGTTGGCACTGATTGGTGCGAGTTGGGCCCTGGCAGGGTTTTTAGGAGTCCTCCCAATTTTGGGGTGGAACTGCATCCACAGACTGGACCAGTGTTCAACAGTCCTTCCGCTTTATGACAGGAGCTACATCCTCTTCTGCGTGTCTGTGTTCATCGCAGTGCTCTTGGCTATTGTGGTCCTTTATGTCAGAGTTTTCCGCATCGTCCGCACCAACACACAGCGCCAGCGGCTGGGCCTGTCAGGCAGCTTGAGGAAAGGCTTAGCGAGGAAGTCTGAGAAGTACATCGCCCTTCTCAAGACAGTCACCATCGTACTGGGTGTCTTCATCGCCTGTTGGCTGCCCCTCTTCGTTCTCCTCCTCCTGGATTTCTTCTGCCCCACCCGCAGTTGTCGAATGCTCTATAAGGCTGATTACTTCCTGGGAGTAGCTATGGTCAACTCGCTCCTCAACCCCATCATCTATACTCTGACCAGTAAGGACATGAGGAGAGCCATTCTGAGGCTGCTCTGCCGGCCCTGTCTGATGACCAGAGACGGCCAGGTGAAGAAGATTGGGATGCCATTCCTTGAGTGTAGTTTCAGTAAAACTGAAGTGGCATCCCAGAAGTTAGAGGGGGGATTGGAGACAACTATTTCCTCTGGGAACAATATCACCACCCCATCTCCTATTAAGACCCTTTATCCAAAACTCTTCAAGTCATGAGGAGTAAGACTAACTGAGTCCATAAGTGTGTGAAAGGGTGTCCCACTGAACAGAGGACATGTAGTGCATCTATAAAGAGGAAGCAGTTCTGGTATTTTCCAAAGAAGCATTGGGAGGGAGGAAATACCATGGAAGCACGAGACAATCACATTCAAACAACAGTCAGAAGTGATGCAGAACTTAAATGCAAGGTGTTTGCGAAACAAAATGCCTTAAGGATGCCACTCAAATGTGAACAAGCAAACATACTTTGTTATGAATAGAAGCTTGTGACTAATTTGCACTAACACATTGGAGTACAGCCTTAGATCTATTCTGTAAACCCAGAGACATTCATGACTGTAAAAAACATTTTGCTGATGAATGGTAAACAAGTTGGGTTGGATATACTTCTTTCTACAGTTTTTTTAATTTAAGTGACTTTAATACAGCACAAACAAGTCTAATATGTGCAGTCTGTAATCTGTGCATCTGCAAACACCTGGATTTTGCTGGTTCGAAGGCCTGTGGTGTGCTAGATTTGTTCAGATAAAATTGTGGGTAGCAACCCTCAACATGTTACATGATGCAGGGATAAATAAATGTTTCAAATGAATAACAGGAAAGAGAGAAGTGGTGTTTAATCTTAACGGTTCGTTGTGCTCTGTAAAAAATGGTGTGCTACAGTTGTAGGGGTAACATTAAAATCCCCCCACTGTTTTGATATGACAGATGGTTAACCTATCTGATGCCAAGTGGAAAGTTGTTGGGGTTTAGTGTCCAATTTGTTAAATGTCAGTCTGGCATCTGGAGGAAAAAAATATATATATTTTTTTTCCATCATGACAATTTGAAAATGTAACCTAATCAGCTGTAATTGCAAAATGTGTAAGTATAAGCCTTCTAAATTATTATAAAAAGAAAACTCCTTAAAAAAAGTTGCAAATGAAATAAAGATACTGATTAGGCTGTCTTTTTAAACAGGCACTTTCTTGTCGGAACTCACTTAATGAATAAGCCAGTGTGTTTTTTGTACTTTAATTCATGTATTGAACTTTTATATTTCTGAGACTTTTCATATCATCTGTATTGTAAATATATCTATTTTGTGCCAAGAAAAGGCTATCAAACCTCTCCTTTCTTTTCAGAAAAGAAATAAAATGTGTTTTTTTAAAGAATTCCTGAGTTTTTGGTTTGTTTTTACTGTGTGCACTGATATGTGTCTGTGTGTGATTCTTTGTGTATAGCTGAAGTTTAGTTTTTGAAGAAGTATCACAGGAAGTCAGCCCCCTATAGTCTGACATCTGGTAATGGCATTGGCCTAGATACAACCTCCTTTTTTAAGCTTTGCATGTCTCCGGACGTCACAAGAATCACACAATGTACCTTTTATTTAATCTCAGGGAACTCAATTTGATCTCCTTTTTCTGTCAACTTGTGGATAGAATTGGCCATCGCCTCACTCTGACCTGCAGTCCACACTCATTCTAGCTGAAACTGAGACGGCTCATTCAGCTATCATTATTGCTCCCTGGGAGCTGTACCTGCTGTAGACAGGACATGAAAAAAAAAATCCACTTGAGTTTGAGTATTAAATGAGATCAAAATTACATTAAAGTTGTATAGAGCGTAAAACGATAAATATAAACTTGCCATTTGGGCTTGTGTCCTGGATCATTATTAATGTCTGGGAGTCCGAATTTGACAAAATGTGAAATTAAGTTATTGGTGTGAAGTGTATCTAAGTGCTGGAGTATTGACACTGCTTGCTAGACCTCTTTGAAATAATAAGTTATTAATATTGCAAAACCCACAATTGTTGTATGGCGGGGTAATATAGGTTCTGCAAACAGCATGTGCAGTTATCTATTTAGGGAAATATGATAACTTTTCACACCTACCTTTTCCTGCAGACAACTCAACTTCTTGTAAAGCGAAGTTATACTGCCTGACACACTATAAATACATATATAGTTGCATTACTTTCGATTTAACTATCCAGGGTAAAAGGTACCATGATGTGGCACTGGGATATGATATAATTTGTATAATGTGCAGATGTTCTTCCAGATGTTGGATGTTTCCACCAGCACTGTGCCTGCTGACAGAGGTCAACGTGTCAGGGAATCTCTCCTGGGCCCCAGCTCCCTCCCTGCTCCTGAAATCATGCAACAAAGCTGAGAGGTACAAGTCATCAATCATTATAACCAAGGACGAGATTGTATAACAGATTTACACATGCTCTACTGCTCCCTGCTCCAGCTGAGTTTGGGAAAAATCAGAGTAGTAACGCATGTAGTAAATCTGATAAATAGACAAATATACATGTAAAAGAAAAAGGAAAAAAAAGACCCTGCAAGTACAGCTTTAATCTTGGATACATGAGGAGCGGACGTCCACCAATCAAACTTTATTTATCAAGAACCTTTTGGATAAATCAAATGAAACTCAAAGAGTTTTACAAGGGATATATAATAAGATTATACAGTAACGAGTACATAATAAAGATAATAAGGTAACATGCATACAAAATAATAAAACTATAGAGTTTGAAAACAAATAAATAAAATCCAAACTAAAAAGATGCATGACTTTTGATTATATCTTTTTTTTAGATGACTGAAACCAGTACTTGCATGAGATTTGTGTCAAGCTTTGTGCCCCAAGGCCAACTTCACCTTAATAATCTATATACAAATTGAAGGCAGTATCATCTCTCAGCTGGGAAAGTATTAGTGAAGGCTGGTTCAAAGCTTGTCATAACATGATTTCTCATGAATGTTTATGCTTTATCATCAATTTCACTGACCCCGGGGGAGCAGAGACTAAATCTCAGCATTACTCATTTGGTTTAACCAGCTGTGAATTTTGCCTATAGGGCTCAAGAAGGCTCAAACATGTTTGTATTACATAATTACAGGAACCTCACTTGTGCATGATTACAAATAATTTCTGAACAATATAGTTTAAGAAATATGAAGTGGGTCTTTGTGCTTGCAGTGACTCAGTATGCTTGTGGTGCCACCTTGTGACCGCTTGCCGGAATAGAGTATGCTGTTTTCCATATTGACCTGAATTACATGTTTTGTAAGAGGGGGAAATGTACTGGTGTCAGCACCTGCCTGGAGCTGGAGCATGTTTCTGTCAAGCTGCATTGTTCTGTAAAGGCCATTCGCAAACAACGCCATTGTCAGGAGGAAGTTAACTTAACAACCAAGGTGAGCTATACAAAGATGGAGCATTTTCGGTTATTTGGTCATTAGTGGCCAATGCCATTATATCCATGTTTCTTGAGCAGCAGTGTGTTTTTTATATTATGCAAAGTTACAAAAAAAACAGAAGATTCAAATAGGCTTGTGAGTTGTTTTTAAATGTCAATTAAGTTGAATTAATAGTGAATTTGCTTAACATAGGACCTCAGCCACAATGCAGACTCTATGCAACACATTAATGCACACACAACAATATCTGTTTTATTTATTGTATTCCATATTTTATTCCTTCTTATTCCATTCCATTGTTATATTTTACTATATTTTGTATTATTTTTAATGTGCTTCTAGTTCTCTACCTGTGTTTTTAATTCTTGTTTTTTCTTTTATGTAGGCTATATGCACCACGACACCAAGTCAAATTCCTCGTAGGCCTACGTGTAAACCTACCTGGTAATAAACCTGTTTCTGATTTCTATTTACATTAATTCTATTAAGTTGTTGTCCATAATAAACATAACAAATGTCATTGTCTCATGCAGTTGCTATATATATTATTTCTAAAAGCGAAATATGACTGAAGTTGAAGCTTGAGATTTGGCACCATGCCAACCCTTTTTTCTTCATTTTGAGAAGTCCTTCTAAATAAAAGCCTCCCTCCCTCGGGACGTTTTTCACTCCATCACCCGTCAACGGAGGCGGGTTAGTGCCTCAGAGGCAGGCTCTTATTGTGAAAGCGAGAGGAGGCCGGCACAATGCTTAGTCATGGTGAGTTACAGCTTCCCCCCTCCTTCCTATGTGGCGCACAGCTCGGCAGACCGCGATGGAGGAATAGAAGTAGACAACGTGAGTTTCTTTTATTACTGATTAAGCTATCAGATTTGATTTATAAGAACTATAATGGGGGTAGGATTTAGTTGCAAGCCAGCTGTAGCAACATGTGTATACAACGCTTTGTTAGCATTTTTGTGCTCGCGATTCACAGCTCTTACGCTGCTGTCTATTATTAGGATTCTATGTTGCTGTCAGCTCTATTTCCGAAACGTTAAACTTGTTATTATTGGGGTCTCCGGTTGTTTATCTTAAAAACAATGAGTACTTTTCGTTGGTGACAAAACAGTGGATTTAATCGAATCTTCTTCATGTTTATTCTCCTTATTTTCGTTTTATACGAGCGCTGTGGATTATCTTTCTTATCAAAGCAACCGCAGAAACGACCATGGTCGGATCGTTGTAAACGGTGCTTTGTGTGAAAGCTCTTAATGTTTGGTAGCATTGCGCGGAAATCTAATTCCTCCTTGATTTATGTAAGGCTGCTCTTCTGGGTCCTGTTTTGGTACAGCCAGTTCCACTGTTTGCTCTGTGAGGAGTTCAGCATGAGTCACAGAGGAGAGCTCTCTGCCAAAAACGCCACTGAGCACGTTAAGCACAATGTTTGTTTGTAACTATTTTACATGCAACTTTGCAACCCTCACTGAACAGCTCTGAGGACCGCAGGCCTGGACTGTGGTTCATAAACTGGGGTGCAGGGTCTCAGAGGGGTCCCTGAAAATGTAATCTATTATTTATAGATTTATCACCCATATGTATGATCACTTAACACAGAGGGATCAAAATAGTGCAAGCATGTTAAAGCTGCAATAATAAGTCGGCTAATCGATAAATTGATCGATTGAAAAATAATAATAACTGTTTTGATAATCCATAGAATCAGCATTTTTATTTGTTACTGTCTTATATCATATTAAACTGAATCTCTTTGAATTTTTGCCTGAAGAAAAAATAAAGTTAAAAACATCCCCTTAGATTTTGAAAAACTGGGATGGACATTTAAATGTTTTTCTAGACCATACGATAAATCCATAATATAAAAATAATCTGGAAAATGATTGATGATTAAAATATTCTTTAGTTGCAGCCATAGTTTGTTCATCAAGTTCAGACATGTAACTCAATGAGTAATGTAAGACATACAAATATTTATTAGCTCAAATGTACTTTTAAAGAAGTTGTTCCTTATAAAAATGACTAAATATTGAATCAAAACAAACACATTTTCTGCTCCAATAGAGTTGTTTAACAGTAACTATCTTCTTCTTTTGATCATTTTGGACCTAAACTAAACTTGTATATATGTTTTAATTATCAGAGATATGCAGCAGTAAAAAATGCTGTTGGCTCAGTGTGAGCCTGTTAGTCAGCGAGCAGTTTCTGCAGGCCTGTTGAGCAACATGTCCTCCTGTGAAACTATTTTACCCAGAAACCTGGAGGGAGGGAAACACAGCAGTAAATTGGAGTCACAGTGTGTTTTATATTACCGCTGGCTAATTGCCTTTATGACGAGCCCTATGATGGTAACTGATGCGTCACCGTCTGTGGATAATAGGAAAATGCTTAGTTTAATCTTAACTGTTAAATGGCAGGACACAATAACCTACTTGCAGTATTTGAAGTGCCCTACACCCTGGCTTGGCGATGCATCCTCTTATCGCCACTTCAGGTAATGATTGCTGTGTGTGTGCCTTGTTATATAACTGCACACTCACAGCTGCATCGTTGCTGAGTGACACTGACTCTGAGAGTCGGAGAACACCGGACAGACATTTAGTGACTGCCGGCTGCTCTTTGTTCTTTATCTCACTGCTACGAGCAGAAGAGTTATCCTAAAAGAAGAAGTTATATTAACAGGAAAAAGAGGCGTCATCCCTCCGTGTCATTTTAATAGTGTGCAGCAGAGCCAGGCTTGCAACAGTAAACATGCTGCTGACTTACAAACAATTCTGCATAGCTATCCCCTGTTGTTTTATCATTCTCTGCAGTGGGATGTGTGAGATTTCTCAAAGTAAAAGCTTTTGTGATACTGATGAACATGTTTGTGTTTTGGCTAAATTCTGTTTTAATTGACAAACTATCTTGTAATTAATGTTTGTGTATATATTTTCTTATTAAGAATTAGATAC